GCTAAACCCAATAAAAAATCTCGAGCGTCACACATATGGCGGGGGCACACATATGGTGGGGGCACCCCGATGTGTGACTAAGGGGGAGATTTTTGGGGTTTAGTCCTACATCGTGTAGCGATGGTGGGAGAGCACAACATATAAGGCGGAAGAAACCCCCACCTATCAGGCTAGTCTTTTGGGTTGGAAAGGCCCAAATGCCTTATATGTTGTCAGCTCTGGTGGACCTGGGAACTGTGGGGGCGCAGACTCGTGGTAACGAGCCAGACCGGCTGCAAGCCAGCTCCAACTGCTCTCCCACCATCGCTACACGATGTAGGACTAAACCCCAACAATCTCCCCCTTAGTCACACATCGGGGTGCCCCCGCCATATGTGTGACGCTAGAGATTTTTTATTGGGTTTAGTTTTTCTGACCATGGGCTCATGATACCAAGTGTTGGAACCGGTGGTGACCACCGAGTTCACGATCTTGGAGCTGGCTTACATACGGTCCGGCTCGTTACCACGAGTCTGCGTTCCCATAGGTCCCAGGTCCACCGGAGCTGACAACATATAAGGCCTTTGGGCCTTCTCAACCAAAAAGACTAGCCTTATAGGTGAGGGTTCTCTCGTCTTATATGTTGTGCTCCCCTACCATTGCTACACGATGTGGGACTAAACCCCAACAATAAAAGTTGTGCTCCCCTACCATCGCTACACGATGTGGGACTAAACCCCAATAATTTTTATTGTTGGGGTTTAGTCCCACATCGTGTAACGATGGTAGGGGAGCACAACATATAAGACGGGAGAACACTCACCTATAAGGCTAGTCTTTTGGGTTGAGAAGGCTCAAAGGCCTTATATGTTGTCAGCTCCGGTGGACCTGGGACCTGTGGGAGCGCAGGCTCGTGGTAACGAGCCGGGCCGACTGCGAGCCAGCTTCAAGATCGTGAACTTGGTGGTCACCACTGGTTCCAACAATTGGTATCAGAGCTTATGGTAAAAAAAAGCTAAACCCGATAAAAATCTCGAGCGTCACAGCATGGCGGGGCACTCCGATGTGTGACTAAGGGGGAGATTGTTGGGGTTTAGTCCCACATCGTGTAGCGATGGTAGGGGAGCACAACATATAAGGCTGGAGAACCCTCACCTATAAGGCTCGTCTTTTGGGTTGAGAAGGCCCAAAGACCTTATATGTTGTCAGCTCCGGTGGACCTGGGACCTATGGGAGCGCAAGCTCGTGGTAACGAGCCGGGCCGGCTACAAACCAGCTCCAAGATCGTGAACTCGGTGGTCACCACCGGTTCCAACAGCCAAGCCCTGGAGCACCGAGTTGATGAGCACTAGCCTCCCTTGGTGATTAAGGAGGGCTAATTGCCACCCAGCCAGACAATGATCCACTTTTTGGAGATGAGCGGGCTGAAAGCAGCATGGTTGAGCTTCACGTTGGACAACAATAGTCCCAAGTAATAGCATGCTGGCACTGAAGGAGATGAACTATGTGTTGTAGGTGAGGCTCAGGTATGTGCATGTATAGGAACCAAAGTGCTTTTGGAGAAGTTGATCTTGAGACCCATGGCCAAGGCAAAGTCATCGAGTGTTCTCTTCAATCACCGAATGTCAGTCACCTCTGCACAGATCAACAGTAATGTCTCATCGGCGTATTGAAGTACTGGGCAAGGGCCATCAATGGCGGGATGATGGATGCTTGTGTCTTGCTTGATCAACTGTTGTAGGCAGGGGCGGATCTAGCGGGGGGGCTGGGGGGGCTCTAGCCCCCCCTACCGCTGCAGATCCCCTTGAGCCCCCATGGAGTCCCTGAAAAAAAATTCCACCATGGCTGTTGAGTAGGAGGGGCTAAAGATGTCGAACTCTTCACCGAGGTTGAAGATGACATTGCTTTTCTTGGGCCAAATGAGATAGCAGGCCTTTTTCATTAATTCCCACCGGATGGCCTCGGTTGCAGCCCAAGAAGGCCCAGCGACGACCCTCCAATTCAGTCAATTGAAGGCCCGTGCAAGATAACACTCAGGCAGGCCTCTAGCCAAGACGGTGATTGCAAACGCGCCAATCAAGAAGGCCCATCTCCCTGTATATTTGCTTATTGCTTTTACCTTATTTGATGTTGTGGCATGCTTTTACCTTATCCATTTTACCAATTTTGTTTTTTTACAACATTTTACCAATTTTGTTAAAATTTGTGATTTGAATTGCTGAAGGAATATGGACTAAAAATTATGTACAACCAATAATAGACCTTTTGCTATAGCAATATTTCTTCAGCCCCCCCTATAAGTATTTCCTGGATCCGCCACTGGTTGTAGGATATCTGCCATGAGTAGGAACAGGTCGGGGGAGAGAGCATCCCCCTGGCGGAGCCCATGCTTGCACTTAATCCATCTCCACGGCAGCCGTTTACGAGCACTGCAGAGCGTGAGGTGGTGAACAGTTGTTCTATCCACTTCAACCACTTGCCGCGGAAGCCTCTGGCACCCAAGATCGTCAGCAAACTGTCCCAGCTGACAGAGTCGAAGGCCTTGGCAAATCACAGCCTGTTCGGCAGGCAGTAAACGATCGTGGATTATTTACTACTGACTGGTTTAGTATGAGAGAAAAATACTATTCTAATTTATAATCTACCATCGTATACGAGCAACAAGATAGACTACCGTGGGGTATTTAATGTGGTGGCAGTGCTGAACAAGCTCCGTGGCATACACAAAATTGTCCGAGATTGATCTGCCCTTTATGAATCCCGATCGAGGTCAATCATCCGCTGGACATGTCTCTGGAGCCTAGTAGTCAAAATCTTGGTGATGATCTTCACATGGCAGTTTTGTAGGGAGGCTGGCCTAAAATCTTTTGGTGCCGTGGCACCCTCACATTTGGGCAGCAGAACGATGTGAGCCCGATTAATCCGGTTGAGGTCCACTTCGCCAATATGGAAGCTTGACAGGAATGCCAGGACATCGTTCTTCACAGCTTGTCATGCAGCAACATACCAGGCAGGGCCGAAGCCATCCGGGCCAGGTGCATTGTTGATGTTCATAGACTTGATTGCCACTACTATGAAAACTTATGCGAGACGGGCAAAAATGATTTACCGAGACGGGCATCCCATCCACCTCCGCGGAAAGGTCACGGTCAATCCGGCCTTAACGGAGGCGGTTGGTCGCCCGCCTCGGTAAATTAAATAAAAAAAAAAAAAAATAATGAAAACCCGTAGACAAGCCCAGCAAGCCCACCCATGGGCCCGCTGAGCCCATCCACGGGCCGTTGCTGCCGTTGCTCGCCGGAGGAGTGCCGCCCGCCAGATCCGCCTCCCCGCCACCGGATCCGGCCTCGTCTGCCCTCCTTGGCCGCACCGCTACACCGGAGGAGGAGCGCCGCCCGCCTCGCCTTGGCGACCGGATCCACCTCGCCACCGGATCCGCCCGCCTCACCTTGCCAGCCGGATCCACCTCCCCGCCAACGGATCTGCCCTCCCCACTATTGGATCCGGGCACCCGCTTGCCGGATCTGAGCACAAGCTCAGCGGGGCCGGTGCTCCTCGCCTTAGCACGCGCCGGTGGAGAGGGAGAGAGAGCTGAGGCGCCGCCGAAGGAGCTCGAGGGAGAGGGATGGTCGGATCCGCTGGACCGCTGCTGCTCCTCCGCCGTCAGACCGCTGCTGCTTCAGGGCGCGCCAGGGCACGCGGCGCCCGCTGCTAGCGAGCTACCCCTCGCCGCTGGGGGCATACGGCGCCCCCAGCCGGTCGTCGACGTGGAGAGAAGTGAGGAAAGAGAGAAACGCGTGACGGGTGAGGGAGAGAAAGGCATGACGGGTTCGGGAGAGAGAGGTGCGAGTGTGCGACGGCCGGGTGAGGGAGAGAAAGAAAGAGCTAAGATGCGCTAGGGTTTGTTCGTCTTTATATTGCATGGCCAGTTAACGGGTTGAGATGGGCTTCTGTTGGGCTCGGCCTTATTAACAGAGGTGGGCCTTTTAAGCGGTCCGCCTCTGAAAATGGCTTTATTTTCCTAGGCGGGCCTCTTATAAGGCCCGTCTCTGTTAATAGATTTTAGGAGGCGTTATTTTTAGGCGCCTTGGTTAATAAAAATGACCGACCCGGTTAATCCCAGGTATTAACCGAGCGGTTCAAATGCCCGCCGGCCTCCAAGCCTCTTTGCCAAACGCCTCGGCTAAGTTTTATTGTAGTAGTGTGCATGGAGGGCTTCTGCTTCAGAAAATGAGGCCACGAGATCAGATAGGTCTTCTAAATGTGCACTGGAGTAGAGGGCTGCTACATCAAAGTTCCATCTCGTGTCGTCAGCTATCTCGAGTATATAGTGTTGTAATAGTTAGACATAGCCTAAGACTTTTCTACATGGTTGACAAGTTGCACACCGTCAACAATGATAGCTGCAATGCGGCTCCTTCTCTGGCGACAAGACGCTCTAGCATGTAAGAATTTGGTGTTGGTGTCGCCTTCCTTTAGACACCTCATCTTCCCCCGCTGTCTCCAGTATGCCACTCGCTGGCAAAGGAACAAGTGCAGGCATTGCGAGCACTGATCTCGCAAGCAGCGCTCGCGCAGTGATAGGGACATGCTTTCTTCCAAATAGTCAAACAAGTGTATGATGAAGTAGCAATTATGATAAATGGAAGGGGGGAATGATGCTTACATAGCCAAACCTTTGATGCCTGCCAAACCGCCTTGACCTGAGCAACCATGACGCGAGCCGCGTCCCCGGAGCGTGCAACAGACTGCCAGGCAGGGAGGACCGAGGGGAGGAAGGAGGGATCCAGGAGCCAGGATCTCTCCAATCTAAAGGCGCTAGGCTTTGTTATATTGGTTTGGATGGAGTCAACAATTGGGGTATGATCGGAGGTGGGACAACAACCGGAAGTTAGGGAGGCACCGGGGAAGATATTCCCAAAGGAGATGCTGAAGAAAGCATGATCTAGTCTAGCGAGCGTGGGCTCAACCCGTTTGTTTGTCCAAGTGAACAACCGATCTAGAAGTAGCAGCTCGATTAGTTACAAAGCATCAATGGCCTGGTTAAACCGTGAGGCTAAACAGGCGTTAAACGACGGCGTGTTCTTGTTGGAAGGGGCACGTGTGAGGTTGAAGTCCCCAATCAGAAACCAGGGGTCGGTGCTGGTGGTCGCCACATCGTTCAAATCACTGAGGAATTGATCAGTGAGGGTGTGGTCAGCAGGTCCATAAACATTGGTCACGGCGAAATGAAGGTCAGAGGTGGTGGATTGGAGGACCACCATAATTATGAAAGCAGAGGACTCCCGTCGGGCAAGGGAGAAGAAGTCAAAGCACCAAGCAGTGAGCAGGCCGCCACGGGAGCCAACCGCCGAGCTATCGTGGGAGGCATCTAAATTGGGGGATGAAGGAGCGAACACTACGATGGTCAGTGGCAACAAGCTTAGCCTCCTGAAGGCATCAAGCTGGGAGTGGGTCTTGACGATGTTGTCTTTGACAACCACACACCTGTCGGATTGGCCGTGGCCACGGATGTTCTAGGAGAGGATCACAAAGTTCCGATAAGCTCGATTCATGGAGGTAACGGGTTACAACGAGAGGCCACTAGGGGCAGTAGCAAGTTCATGACCGGGCCACCGGGGCGACAATGGTGACCGACATAGGAAGAAAACGAGGTAGAACAGACTCGATAATAGAAGCCAGACAGAACACTATGATGAACAAAGGCCTAAGATACAAGGGGCCACGCATGGTGGGAGCCCAACACATAGACGGCGGCGATGAAGAGGTGCGAAGGATGTGGCCGAGGACACCACAGGCAGCCAATCCACGAGCGGAGTGGCCAGAGATCATGGGTAGCGATTGGTGGCCGCCGCCACCGCAACAGCGCGTCTACTGGTGCAATCAAGGCCCGTAGCCTTGGCGAGGCGGGGGAGGTCCAGCGCCTTCAGCGGGTTCTTCTTCTTGAGGATGCGACGCGCTGACAGCGGTAGCTTAAGTTCGGCGGAACAAGGGGCCAGAGTCTCCCTCAGGGCCTTCTGGTTCACAGCCTTGGTGGTCATGTTGACGAAGCCATTAGGATTCCGAGCGGCAAGCCTGGAACTAGCACGCTGGGGTGGCGAGGCGTCGTCGTACCAAGGGAGAGCAATTAAGGACCAGGATGGAGTGGAAAGGCGTAGAGGACACCGGATCGCCAAGTCCCAACACCCTGGACGGCAGGATATGATCGGCAAGGGAGGGAGATCAGGCGCCAGAGGGTACGGGCGCATGGCGCCGAAGAAGAAAGCGGCGAAACCAGGGAGCAGACCCAGACCACCAAAAGGGCGAGGAAGGTCCCAAGCAAGAGGTCTCGGCGAGCCGAAGCGCGGGAGAGGATTGCCCGCAGAGCCCGGAGGGCTGTTGGCAGGGTGACCACTCGGTGCCTCGGTGGCACTCCGCCGCCACCGTTGCCCCTGTTGTTGGGGAAGAAGGGGCACAAGCGGCCATTCCCGTCGAGTTGGTCCTCACGGCGCCAGGTGTGCAGCACGTCGATCTGGAACGTGGCGGCCAGGCCACCGGCGTTGGCGACCCAGAGGTCACCCGGGATCCGGACCGGGCAGGCACGCTCGATGACGATGCGCACAGAGGAGTCGTCGTCTTCAAGGCAGTTGGACTCAATCTTGACCACCATTCCGTGCTGTCTGAAGGCATCTGGCATGCCCACCGGGTTCTAGTGCTCAGGAGCGAAGCCGGTGGCCGAGACCGCAGTCAGCCACTCCGGGGTCACCCGGAAGGGGTTCTCAGTCTCCTCAGAGCGCACCAAGGAGACACGTCCGCCACCGTGGATGATGGAGGACAGGTCAACCACCATGTCGCGCTCGATGGCCGAGTCGAACACCAGCATCATGTGCCCCTAACAGGAGGTGAACAGCCGCAAGCGGGTGTTGCTGGCCACAGAGAACAGGGCGGCCCTGATGAAGTGGGCCGGGCTCGACGTGGCCGCGTCGTCGTTGATGGCGGTGTAGGCGACACACGAGGCAAACTCCAGATTGCCGGGGGGCATCCAAAGCAGGCCCAGATCCAGGCCCTCGCTGGGCGAGGAAGGCAGGGACGAGGCCTGGGCCGGCGAGCCGTCGGAGTCGACCTCGGAGGTGGTCTGCAAGACGTTGTCGTTGAAGGCGCGGGCGTGGTGGTTCTCCTGGAACCCCGCATCGGCATGCACAGGGGCAATCACCGCCATGGCCACCGGCTCGCTGGGAGGGGCAGAATGCTGACCGGTGGAAGCAGGGGAAGACGTGCTGACCCAGCCCGACAACGTCGGAGAGGAGGAGGTGGTGGTCACTACTGGATTTAGGTTCTTTGCCGAGTGCCTGAGGCACTCGGCAAATGCTAGATTGCACTCGGGCCTTTGCCGAGTGCGGCACTCGGTAAAGCACACACAGCAAAAAATTGATCGGCAAAACACTCTTTGTCGAGTGTATTTTATCGGGTACTCGGCAAAGAAAAGCGACCGTCACGGCGCCGGTCCCGTTGATGGTCACTTTACCGAGTGTTAACCCTACATGCACTCAGCAAAGATTTTTTATAATTTTTTTAAAAAATTTCTTTGCCGAGTGTCAACCCGTGAGACGCTCGGCAAAGATTTTTTTTTAAAAAAAATTCTTTGCCGAGTGCCAAACCGTGAGGCACTCGGCAAAGAGCTTTTTTTTTTGAAAATTTTCTTTGCCGAGTGCCAACCCGCCAGGCACTCGGCAAAGATTTTTTATTTTTTTTAAAAAAATTTCTTTGCCGAGCGCCAACCCGGAAGGCACTCGGCAAAGAGATTTTATTTTTTTTTGAAAATTTTCTTTGCCGAGTGCCAACCCGCCAGGCACTCGGCAAAGATTTTTTATTTTTTTTTAAAAAAATTCTTTGCCGAGCGCCAACCCGGAAGATACTCGGCAAAGTGCTTTGATTTTTTTTTGAAATTTTTCTTTGCCGAGTGCCAACCCGCCAGGCACTCGGCAAAGATTTTTTATTTTTTTTAAAAAAAATTCTTTGCCGACCGTCAACCCGGAAGGCACTCGGCAAAGAGCTTTTATGTGACGCCGAGCAAGCCTGGCCACTATGTGACGCCGACTGCGAGAAAGACAGCATGATGATTAGAAATCAGACAGAACTGAGCGTGACAATAGATAAATCAATTCGCGTACCCATGCTTGTTTGTATCCGGCGAGGTTGCGGCTGCCTTGATGGTGTGCTGGATCTTGCATCAGCAAACGACGGTCCCGGGCATCCCTATGCATCTTGAGGTACTCCTCCGTGAACCACCTGTCCACCATCATCGCCCAGCACTCGGGATACGCTTGGCACCACCAGGGAATCACCTACATGTCATCAAGTATTGGACATATAAGAAGATCAAATTAAACCAACTTAATCTCAAAACAAATCAATATTGATGTTCTTCATTTACCTCAAGGTACTGCTCCCGGGTCAGTTGCATCTCTCTTGCGTCTTTCTTGGTTTTCCTCTCTCCAAGCTTTGACCCATAGTAGGTTACGATGGTCTGGATGCGCGCCTCGTGATGCATGTCGGTGACGAGTTTTTTACAGGCTTTGGTAGTCGCCTGCTCCGCCCTGGTCTCAAATCCCTCCTCGCATCTGTAATAAGTCTGCATACAAAAGCGATGTATCCATTCATTATTTCAAGAAAAGTCCAATGAATGCGACGTATTGAGCAATGTTGTGCAAGGGAGACTTACCCAAAACTCTGCCTTCACCCGCGCCGCCTTGTTGGGGTACTCCGCATCGGAGGCGACGACGTAGTGGTCAAACGAGTAGGCCGGCTCCGTCTTCGATGCGTACGTGACAATGCCGGGGAAGCGCTGCCTGCACAGAAGACCCAGGATGCCGTTGACTAGCCATGCTCTACCACCCGACACAACCACCCAGTTCCTGCACAAGTGATTAAAAAAATTATTAGTTTTTTTCATCATATCATATGAAGTAGTGGTGATAACATATACAATTACTTACTTTTGTCCTTCGGGGCGAATCACTGGGCGTTGGTGAGGAAGCGGAACTTGTGGGAGGCTCGCGGGACCTCGCAAGTAGACACTCGAAGAGGAGTTGGAGGAAGCGGAACCCGTGCCTGCCGCCTCCCCCCTCCTCCTCCTCCTCCTCCTCCTCCTCCGCCTCCGTCTGCCGAACCAGCTCATCGTCTGACTCGTCCATGGGCGCCACCTCCTCCTACGGCTGGCGGTCCTCCTCACGTGGCGTGGGAGGAGACGGCCCCCTCCTGTGGCTAGCGGTCCTCCTCCTCCTGTTCGATCCCTCTGCCGCCCCCCCCCTCCTGCAACCGGCGTGGTCTATGGTAAATCGAGTTCACAGACCTATGACGGTCGCCCGCCATCTTTGTTCAATCACCTGCAATAAAAAAGAAAAACAAGACGTAACTAGAAATAGGTGCAAAAATAAACAAAACATAATTACAAAAAATATAGTAATACATGTATTAGAAATATATGCAAAAATGAACAAAACATAATTACAAAAAACATAGTATTACATGTATTAGAAATAATCTTCATGATTGAAATTAGCTGGATCATAGGTCTCGTCATCACTATCAACATTGTCCAACTCATCAACACTATCCGAAGGAGGAATGTTGTCTTCATTGTCATTGCCCAAATGAAATTGCTCAAGCATTTGTATGTCCTTCAGATTTCGCACCTCGTCTCCAGCGTCCTCGTCATCATCCCTTTCATTGTCTACTTCCATTCCTATCTCTTCGGTTAAGTCTATGTCAAACCTCCCTTGTAGCCCCTCTTCTTGATAGAACTCTCCATCATATGTGTTTGGGTTGAAGTTGTAATCTTCATCGTTTGGGATAGGTAGTTTACCATGTGGCGATACCTTGTACACAATAGACCAACCCTTAAGATGCTCGGCGTCTTTGCACGTGTATGATGTATAATAAATCTGGACGGCCTGTTGAGCCACAATGTAGACATCTTTTCCTGGATAGACGGAATCATGTCGAATCTCGACTAGCCCAAGCTTAGGGGTCCGTCTCGTTACACCAGGATGAAACCAGTGGCATTTGAATATGACAGGAGTGAGAGGTTTGGAACCATAAAATGATAGTTCATAGATTTCTTCAATTCTTCCATAATAGTCGAGTCCATCAGTGCCGGGCGTAACAACTCCGCTGTTTGTGGTTTGTCGATTGGGCCGACTCTGCTCGTAGCTTGCTGTGTGAAAACGATATCCATTCACATCATAATCGGTAAATGACTTGACCCTAACGGCACAACCGTTTGCAACCTATCTTAACTCATCACTTATAGGCGCATCAGTTTGGGCTTTCTGTTTGAACCAACAAATGAAATCGGGGCTCCCTGGTCCCGCACCCCGTGAAAGAAGGGTATCATTTTCTTGCGGGGTAGGTTGCCTTGATCCATGCCAGGATTGACGAAGAAATTCCCTGTACCAACGAGAAACAAGGGGGTTGGACGACGAAACAAGGACATACGGCGAAATGAAACAAGTTCGTTCAGAACTTACCGAATGAACGGTTGCACCTCGACAAGGTTGGTCAACACATATAGCATGATACTGCGCCACTCTTCATTTTTCAATTGCTTAGTGGTCGATGCACTTGCGCTTCCAAGTTGCCCTTGGAAAAGGCTGAGGTTCGATTCATTTTCGCCAGCATTGTAATGAGGGGGTGGATTATGAACGTTAGGAAGTTTGTCAGTGTAGTATTTCTCTATGAAGTTCGACACCTCCTCTAGAATGTATGCCTCTGCAATGGAAGCCTCAATTCTGGCTTTATTTCTACATTTTTTGTGAAGAGTCTTCAGACATCTCTCGATTGGATAGCACCAACGGTTCTGCACAGGACCCCCCATTCGTGCCTCATACGGGAGGTGCACAATCAAATGCTGCATCAACAAGAAGCAGGCGGGTGGAAAGATCTTCTCCAACTTACAGAGCAACACGGGTGCCGCTTTTTCCAAGTCATCAATGACGGTCCGAGAGAGCTCCTTGGCACAAAGCTGGCGGAATAAGTAGCTCAACTCTGCCAGCACTTGCCAGACATGCTCTGGGACATAGCCTCGAACCATCGCCGGAAGAAGCCGCTCAATCCATATGTGGTAGTCATGACTCTTCATCCCGTTGACTCGCAGAGTGCCTAAGTTAACTCCCCTCTTTAGATTCGCTGCATACCCATCGGGGAACATTAGCTTCTTGACCCATTCAAGTACTTCCCTCCTTTAGGCCTTCTCTAGGTCTTGCCACGACTAGGAGGTTGCATTCTTGATTTGGTCTATCGCATAACGTTGCCAGGTCTACTCTAGCCTTTGGGTTGTCCTTAGACTTTTCAGTGTCCATGAGTGTTGTCCAAAGTGCCTCGGCGACATTCTTTTCAGTGTGCATTACATCAATGTTATGTGGTAGAAGAAGGTCATCGAAATAGGGGAGCCTCGTCATGCCCGAGATATGAGTCCACATATGCTGCTCACCATATCCCACAAAACCACCTTCTTCATTGGGCACGAGAGCACCTATCTGAGCATGAACCTCGGCACCATTCATCATCCGCGGTGCAGGGTTTGTCACTTTGACACCTTTCGTAAAGTTCTTGATGTCTTGTCTGAATGGATGGTCAAGAGGTAGGAATTGACGATGTCTGTCAAACGACGAATACTTGCCACCCTTCTGCAACCAAATAAACCTCACACCTTCCTTGCATATTGGGCATGGGAACTTCCCGTGAACACTCCAGTCGCAGAATATCCCATACGCCAGGAAGTCATGCAGGGAGTAGTGGTACCAAACGTGCATTTTGAAGGTTGTCTTTGTAGCTCGATCGTATGTCCATACCCCTTCGTCCCAAGCACGGACCAATTCATCAAACACGGACTCCATGAACACACCCATATTACTCCCTGGGTGTCTAGGAATTATCAACGACAAGAATACGTTATGTCGTTGAAAGGAGACACCGGGGGGAGATTAAGGGGGATAACAAAGATGGGCCAACATGTGTATGGGGCAGCCATCATTCCATAAGGATTGAACCCATCTGTTGCCAACGCGACATGTACATTACGAGCCTCATCTGCTTTGTCACGATGTTTGTCATTAAAGCGGATCCAAGCTTCACCATTGGATGGATGTACCATCTTGTCAGGATTGTACCATTTGCCATTTTTGTGCCATGTCATCTGTTTCGCAGATTCCTCGGTCA